ACGAGCCAATGTCTTTGGTTTGGTTGAATTTAAACAGATTTAGGTGCAGCAGTTCCTTTCCATGATGGGGTCCCAGTTTCCATGATGAGATGCAGCATAGCCTAGTAAATTTGAAATGTGGGAATTTTAGTTTTTTTAATTCCCACCGACATGATGGATTCTAAGGCCTCCTTCATGGCCATTAGGTTTATGATGTCAATAAAACTCCTGAAGCCCATGCTGACATGGTCTTTGATGATTGATGGCCTGTAGAAATGTTTCTTAAACCTCCATCGAGATGCCTATTAACAAAAAAAACCAAAAAGCAAACTAACAAGAAATGCTACAGGAAGGCTGGTAGTCTGACTTCAAACCATGAAACGAAGACATTCAGAATTCTATTCCTGCATCTTTAATTCTACATCATCCCTAATGAAGCAGAACAAGTATGAACTGATTTAGACCTAATCCATATTTGTCGTGCATTATTATTTGTATTGTGGTAGTGGCTAGGGACCACAGTCGTGGACCAGGACCCCCTTGTGTTAGGCGTTGTAAAAACACAGAACGAAAAGATGGTCCACCCCGATCCAAAGAGCTGACAATCTAAGTGTAAGACAAGAGACAACAGGTGGATACAGACAGATAGACAGGGGAGCACAAGGAACCAATACGATAATATTGCCTAACACTTAAACAGAACCCAGAGGGATAAGATGGGCTGGAAAACTTAGTTCTGCTGTCAGTAACGACACTGTAAATCCAAAGTGATGCTATTGGAAACAATTACACCAGTTTCACAGTGGTAGCCGTGTCAGTCTGAATCAGCAAAAACAACGAGGAGTCCTTGTGGCACCTTAGAGACTAACAAATTTATTAGAGCATAAGCTTTCAAGGGCTAAAACCCACTTCATCAGATGCATGGAGTGGAAAATACAGTAGGAAGATATATATGCATGATTTTCTCCAGTGCATTGTCTTTTGTTTCTCATACCTCCCCGTCCCGCACTCCCATATGGCAACATTCTCTGTATGTCCAATAGCAGTTTGAAAGTCACATCAGCTGCTCTGTAGCTTTCCAGTGTGAAGGAAAGAAGGTAGATCTTGCATCCTATCCACTCATAGATTAGAGGCACACAGTGAGTGCCATTAAAATCTCATTGTATTTACCTTACTAGTGGTAGTGCATTATTTCCAATACTTGGAATGGGACTGATACCACAGTGACTTTCACTTCTGTAGGCAGTAGATGTCAAGATTTTAATAATGCCCACTGTAACTTCCACCATGCTGCCAGCCATCACCGACTAAAGGTCGAGTTTCTTAAGCTTATCTTGCAAACCTCTGTTCCTACAGGTTACTCCACAGCAGTACTCACTAGAGTACTGCGCTGGTCCAAGTAAAGCTCTTTCTTCAGCGCAGTTGCCAGTATTTACATTATTGGATTCATCGGCCCGGCGTATTTCACTGTATCAGTCAATCGACCCCTAATTGACATATCCCTCAGCAAAATAAACTATCTGTAGGGAATAAGCAATGATTAAAGGAGCCAAAAGATGCTTTGTAGCTATTTGCTCTTTCGGAATGGTCCTGCGGAGCCGTGGGTCAATAGTAATGATCCCTGAGTCACCTTGTTATATCTCCCTCTTGCACAAAGAGCAAGCCAAGAGTTCCCTCCATGTGGTGCAACAAACAGTCCCGACAGGCCCCCCAAGGACCACAGCTGATTGGGTGGCTTGTTTCCCCAGCCTGCTACTTACATAATACAGGTGTGCAACCACCTGCTTCAGAACCGCAGCGCCTCAGCACCCAGTACACCCTAACATTCCACCAGGGAAGTGCAAAGTCGAGGTATCGCATAAGGAATCAGCGGAGGCCGCCTGCGTGATTGATAAAGTGCCTTGAGGAACACAGCCAGGGAGAGTTAGCTCTAAATTGGACACTCCGGATGAGCCAGATCCTCGGCTGGTGTAAATCAGCGTAGCAACATTGACATCAATGCACCTTCCGCCAGTTTATACCAGCTCAGGATCCGGCCTATGAGCTGGAGGTTGAGGTCCTCTGTGTATCTACAGAACAGGTGTGATATGGGCAACAGCAGTGTAACCTTCCCCACCCTGCTCCACCAAAATACCTCTACCCTATTTGGAGGAATCTCTTTCGGGGGCAAGAGGGGAGTTTAATCTCCATGTCCACTTAGTCCTTGGGCTTCTCTGCAGAGCTTGCCAGGATGTACCCATTGTGGTGATGGCTTTTGTGGGTGTTTGGTTTACTTAGACAAATGCTTTCACATGCCTTTAGCTCCGGGGGTGCCGCTGTGTAACTGAAAGGCGATCTTGTCAGGCTGTTTTCTTTGCCAGGTACTGTTAGAAGCAGAAGAGTCTCCCAGCCTGCTGCCGGGGCACTTACCATGTTGCGTTTCAGTTCAGATGCAGAATGTTATAGGGCGAGTTCCTGTTTGCTCTCTCTGTCGTCCTCTCGCTGTGTCTCGCAGAGACTTTATAGTCATCCTTTCTTTCTTGGCTGTTTTCCGTAATCTGAAGTCAAAGTCCTTTAGACTGTAAATACATGTTTTACACTGTTGCACTGTCTTAATGAGCAATGCTCCAAAAGCAAATCTGTCCTGCTGCAACGGAGAAATCTACTGTCGAGTAAACAGGAAATGGATTTTGGTTTCATGCTTGTACGCAAGAGCGTATTTGTTATTTGTGTAATGAGCTACTTGTTTTCCACACAAAGAAGACAAGCTTTGTGCCTCAAAAGCCTGGTCTATGCTATGATTTTTTACAAAGCAGTTCACTCTTGCGCAACCTACAACACTGTGTCATTGGTGCTAGCAATGGTGGAAGCTCTCATGCAGATAGGGCTCCCTGATGTTTTCACTGGCATGCCATGGAAACCTTCTCTGGGAAGGGATAGGTGGGTAAGGTGGTTAAAAACATGGTCCTGTCTGCACTAGCATTCCCACTGTTGGTGGTGCAACCACAAGCAATTAGGAGAACATGGTTTAGTGGATTGTGCACTGGCTAGGGAGTCAGGAGACCGCTGTTGTAATCCTCGCTCTGCCAATGGCCTTGGGTGGGTACTTTGCTTCTCTGTGCCTCAGTTTCCCCCCACACCTATTGTCTATCTTTTCTATTTAGATCGTAAGCTCTCTGGTACAATAACTGTCTTTCTTAGCACAATGGGCCCCCCATCTCAGTTGGGGCCACGTGGCTCTATTGCAACATTAATAATTATTTTCCCCCCCCCCCAAATCCCTAATGTACACAGAGTGGTGTAGTCTGCGGCCTTTTAAGCAACTTGTTCCAACTGAATGTGAGTAGAAGGATTAAACAGGATTCTGTTGTGCTTTCTCTCTAAAACAGCTACCTTATGTGAAAAGAAGAAAGAAATCCCACCTTACCGGCAGATGCATTATTTCAATGGGCCAGTTTAACATGACTGAGTTCAACCAACAGCACAAGTTGAACTATAATTATGGGGAAACAATCAAATCTCTATCTGAGTTCATAACAAACTGGTCTTACCACTTTTTTGTATTATAGCAGAACCCGTTTGGCAGCTTTGACTAAGCCGTGCCGCCTTTCTGCTGCTGGGTTAAAGAAACGTAAACCAGTAGAGCAAGTTGGACCGAAAAGAAAAATTATGGCTTATTGTCTGTGCAAGTTCAGCCACACTGCTCCCTTCTATCTCCCATGTACCAAATGACTGGCGATTGTCCTCGACTTAACGCAAGCGACTGCCGGAGGAGTCGAGCGAGAGAGAGGAGCAGTAACACAGCGTGAGTAACATTGTGCATGGAGGGACTTTTATCCACAGCGTCCCGTGCAATGTCACGGAGCAAGGGGGGAAAGAGCTGACTAGTTTTGTGCCCACAATGGAGGAAGAGTTGCGGAGGAAAAGCACTTAAGCGCTCAGTATAGACCTGTCACTCAGCGCCTCGTATCAGGTTCTGTTCAATCTTTAAGTGAATGTGTGGAGTTGTTCAGGGATTCAGGGCTATAATCCAGAAGGGTTTTTTCCCCCCTTCCATTTTTGGTAGGAGATCTACAGAAAGTTGGATTTCTACTGCATCAGCTGGATTCCCTGCCTGCTGCAGTGAGAAGGAGACAGCTTGGAGCAGCAGATAAGCTAGCCAGGCCAGCAGAGATCCACATTGAGTCATAATTTCATTTCTCTGGTTTTTGGTCTTGGTTGTCCCGTGTTGATGCTTTTGCTAAATCGAGCTGCAGCTGGTCAAAAATTGGGGGCAAGAAGAGGGAGATTTTCACACACAAAACTATGTTTGAAATTTTGGTGGAAAATGTCATTGGAATTTCAAATTCAGAACATGTCAATCAAATCTAAATCAAGCTGAAATAAAGGATCAGATTTGCCACTGGGTTGGGGTTCTGAACTGGCTGCTGCAACCTTCACTAACGGGCTTGTTCATGGATGCCAGTGTTTGAAAACATGTAGAGGGACCTGTGGAGAAGCCCACGCAAAACGGCATTGGAACAGCTGGGACAGGATGGAAAAAGTGTAAAAAAAAAAAAAGAACCAAACTAAAGACAGTTGTTGTCTACTGGATTCTATGTTAAACAGCTGCAGTGGGCACTGAGTCTGCGTCCACTCCATCCATAGCCCCCCTGCTGTACTGCAGAGGTCTTTGAGGAGTGGGTGGACTTTAATAGCATGGATGCTGCAATCACGAGGTGGCTCTCTGTAGGGCCGAGGTGGCAGCTTTCTCGGAATACTTTTGCTTTTGTGGATTGAAGGGTCCATGAAAACAAAACTTGCTCTTTCACCTTTCTCCGTTTCCTTTCTGTATAGCGGTGACAGCTCACAACATTGCACAGCCAGGAATTGTTACGGAAGTGGTCTAACACAGCAGGCAGTGTGGGCTGGTGGATGGGGCAATGGGTGGCGACTCACAAGGCCTAGCTCTGATTGAATTTGGGCAAGTCGCTTTCCATGGTGTGTGCCTCGGTTTCCCCATCTGCCAAATGGGGGACAATGTTGTTTCTTTCCTTTGTATAGAGCTTTGAGATCTAAGGATGAGGTGCTCGGTGGAAGAGCTAGACGTTATTAATGCAGCATTTCCATTGCTCCATTTGCACTGTTTTAAATGCAACAAGTTTTACAAAAAGTATTTAGCTGATTCAAATATTGAGCCAAACCAAACCATGAATGCACTTGATAACAGATAACTTAAAGCTGGATCATTGGGGTTTTCTTACCTCTCTCTCTTCCCCACCCTAAATCAGTCATCTCATTGTTCCTGGATAAAAAGGAATTTGATCTCCTTTCCCCTACAGAGAACTGGGAATCAGATTGCAGTGGTTTCTTTCCCATGCTCACAATGCTGTAAGATTCCCACACCCGGGGCACATCCCAGTGTGGTATCTCCCTGCTGCCAGGTTCAACACCCTCAGTGTGTCTGCTGGACAGTGCTCATGGGGGCAGTAAAAACACGGGGCAATTAGATAGCACTTTAGAGCTTCTAATTGCTTTGCAAATGCTCGAGGCCAAAACCTGAACTCCTGTGCAAGGGACAGTCAGTGGGCTTTACGCAAGGTGCTTCTGTGGGGGTGCATGGATGGGATCTTCCCTTTCCTCATCCCCCACCCTCCCTGCAGGAACAAGGAAGCCACCAATGAAATGCTGCTCTAGTAGTGGTGGTGTTCACTGTACACTCTCTCATGCATGGCAGCTTTGCCCAAGTGGGCTAGACTCTCCAATAGCCTTCTCCCCTCCATTCTGTGTACTGGCAGGACTGAAGAAACCCTGCCGGTACTGTGGTGATGTGTGCCCTAGAAGTGCCTATAAATAAAATAACTGTAGGCCATTCCACACCTGCAGAGGAGGAGACAGGCTTTGGTACTATAAAATTACTCTTCACAATCCACCCTGTGCAGCAGGGTAATCATTGTTATCCCTAATGTTCATCTGGGGAAACTGAGACAGGCAGGTTAATTGATTTGCCCAAGGTTACCAAAGGAGCCAGTGTCAGAGCTGGGAGTAGAACTCAGGGGTTCCTGCTCCCAGTCCTGTGCTCAGATTAACTTGCACCCCTCTGTGTTAGGCAATGTGTAATGAGGTTCTGGACACGGACAGGCACCATTCATAAAAGATGTCTTTTAACATTAAAAGTATATGTTATTCATGGCAGGCAGGGAAGCCACAGTGCATAAGGATGTTCATGCACATCAAGCCCTGGCAGGGATCCCTCTCAGAATGACACCCCTTAATGGATGAGCTGCACTCACCCACCATGGCAGCAGTAAATGGAAGCCCACATAGATGGGTGGGAAAATACCTTAAGAAAACTAACAGGGCTTTATTCTGTCCTCCCTGTGGCAGTGTAAATCATTAGCAGTAAATCCACTGACGCCAATGGAATTCCACTGGGGTAAAACAGGTGTAAGTGAAGGGAGAATCTGGCCTATTGGTTTTGAAAATCTTGGCATTACTGAGATGCCCTGTTAATGGGAGCCCAGAAGGCATTAAAATGCATAAGCTGAGGACACCAAGCATTGAACCTTGGGGGACACCATAGAAACTGATGACTGCCCGTTATCTTCTGTGCAATTGGCTAGAAGGGCACAAGCAGAGGACTCCTTCAGTGACTACCTGACTCAACAGTAGTGGCTCTTGCAAAGCGTTTCTTTCGCACTTTTCAGACGTCACAAATCCTTGCATAAACCATCAGTTGCCATCCTCCCGAGGAGAGGAAATCAAAGAGCTGTGCTGGAGAAAGAATGACTGTGCTGGAGTTGGGGAAATCACTTTTTAAATGACTGTTGTAAGAGTCAATCTTTGTCATTTTCTTTAGCATAGTGATGGCTTTTCATCATTGGTAGGATAGTAGATTCCCGCTGCTCAGCATCTTCTGTATTGCATTAGCCACTTTGTTATTGTTAGGCTGGGTAAAGGTGTGGTGGATTTTTCATCAGAAAAGTTATTTAATGCCCAGAAAGAGAAACGACTGAATTTCCAGCATGGTTCATGTACAGAGGAGCCCAAACTGCCAACTTCAGACCTGGATTCCAAAGCCCGGAAAGTCTGAGGATGTTTGGCTGTGGGGTTTGCACGGGGACACATCATTACAGTGTCCCAAAAGGAAACTAGCCAGCAGAGATCATCTGTTTCCAGGCACCCATTCAAATCTCACTGCCCCAGGAGGAGCACTGGAGGAATTGGACCTCAGAGAGGTACATGTACTATCAGGGCTGGTTGGCTGTGGTGGGTAGAAGGACAGCCCACCCCTTCCACAGTGCCAGGCACACTTCCTTCTCCCAGTTTAAGCTGACATATTCATAGAATCGAGAGGTCATCTAGTCCAGTCCCCTGCACTCATGGCAGGACTAAGTATTACCTAGACTATCCCTGACAGGTATTTGTCTAACCTGCTCTTAAAAATCTCCAGGGATGGAGATTCCACAACCTCCCTAGGCAATTTATTCCAGTCCTTCACCACCCTGACAGGAAGTTTTTCTTAATGTCCAACCTAAACTGGCCTTGCTGCAATTTAAGCCCATTGCTTCTTATCCTATCCTCAGAAGTTAAGGAGAACAATTTTCCCCTCTCCTCCTTGTAACAACCTTAACAGTTTTGAAAACTTATCATGTCCTCTCTTGGTCTTCTCTTCTCCAAACTAAACAAACCCAATTGTTTCAATGTTCTCTTCATAGGTCATGTTTTCTAGCTCTTTCATCATTTTTGTTGCTCCTATTTGTCCACATCTTTCCTGAAGTGTGGCACCCAGAACTGGACACAATACTCCAGTTGAGGCCTAATCAATGTGTAGTAGAGAGGAAGAATTACTTCTCATGTCTTGCTTAATACACTCCTGCTAATACATCCCAGAATGATGTTTGCTTTTTTTTGCAACAGCATTACACCATTAACTCATATTTAGCTTGTGATCCACTATGACCCCCAGATCCTATTCTTGTATAGCAGCTTGTTTCCAGTCTGCAATATCATCTAGCCATAGGTTTGCATGGCTGTTTTTACAACACTGTCAATGACACCACTAAGGCACCTATTCAGCAAGATATTTAAGCACATGCCAAACTGTAAGCATGTGAATTGTCCCTGTGATGTCAATGGGACTATTTGCGTGATTACAGTTGGGCATGTGCTAAAGTATCTTGCTGAATACGGGATTTAATTTGCCTGGCGGACTGGGTCAGAATATGAGGGGAAAGAAAACTTGGCCTCCTAAAGCCTTATTCAAACAGGGCCTGATACAAATGTCTTTGCCTCCTAAAATTGGGTGAGAAAGGGAATGGGGTGAACATGTTCTAACCAGTCAGCAAATATGCAGTGCATTAGGACAACTTGAATTTAACATCTGACTAGATTAGCTTCGTAGTAGTAACTTCGGTTTGGAGGCTGGCTTACTGCTCCAACAAGTGCAAAATCAAGCCCTTTGTTTTCTAAATCAGAGCAGTGAGCCATCTTACCGACAAGAAGTAGAATCTACCAACGTGTTTCAACAGCAGCCGTACGTGCCCCCGCAATGGACAGACAGTAAGGATACTTAGCGCCTTTCCATCAAGCACTTTCAGAAACAGTCACTCATTCTCACTACACCCTGCCAAAAAGTATTTTTCTTCCCATCCAATTGAGAGGGAAACTGAGGCGCAGAGAGATTCAATGGCTTGCCCAAGATCACACAGTGAGTAAATGGCAGAGGTGGAAATAGAACTCAGACATCTTTACTCCCAGCCCTGTGTTTGACCCACTAGATTGCAGTCCCATTACAGTGCTTAATACCTCGCAGGATCAGGCCCT